TATATTTGGGAACTTCTATGCATTTCTGTGCCTTAAGTGTGATCTCAGCTCTTATTTTCCAATGTTGGTAATGGATGGTTCGGGAAAACTGCCAGCGTAATATTCTTTACCCATAAATAAGTGATGCAACTCATTCATCATCCCTTTTTGCTGCTAGATTGGATTCTGTTTGTTTATTTTTTTTCTTAGACATTTGCAGAATTTGGATGCGCAAGGCAAATATTGGGAAGGCTTGCAGTATGCAAGTAGGAAATGCTCTACAGATTTTTTTGTTTATTATTAATCAAGAAATACACAGTAGGAAGGATAGGGACTGGTGTTGCATAGTGCTAGGAAAATAAAAGGAGGAGGAGGTAGGTGACACACCTTGTAGACAGTATGTTAAATTTTACTAAGCTCTGCAAGAATCTCTGCACAGATAATGAACTTGGTAAGACAGATCCCTCAGCTGTCATTGCATTGTCATACATCGCAGGATCTAGTGGGTCCTGATCACTTTATGCCAGCAGTCTCTAGGATGTACTAGGTAAAGTACTAGGATGCAGTACTTCACCCTAGATATCCTGAAGTAACAACATTTTTGTCAAGCAAACCATATGGAATATTCTAGAGTACTATTTCAAAGTGAACCAAAGTAAAATAAAGTACATCACCTTTACTGTATGTGTATATATGTATGTACATACATGTATATGTATTTGTGTGACATATATGTATATGTATTTGTGTGTGTGTATATAATCTATTTGCTGCACACCCAAATGCGTGTAAGTGAATTAATTGCTTTGTCACATAATTTTTTGCATCTCTTAAGTCGTCTGTGTCATAAGGACTCTTTAATGGAACATTCAGATGCACTTTCTGTTGCTATTGTTATTACTGTGGAGCAATGGCAAAGTTTAGAGTTGAAATTTTTTTTCTATCTAGAAAGACCTCATTCCAGAGATACTTTAGTCGATACAAATACTGTATTCACAACTTTGGTTGATTTTTACTTAGGACAGAGATTTTATGAATTTTAACACTGTTGAGCATAGGGTCCTGAACAGTGCAAAATGGAATGTAGATATATTAGATAATAAAGCTTTAGAAGTAATCATTGAAACGAGTGCATTCGGTCTTTATAGAATATGTTTATGCAAATTCAGGTGTGTTAATCATTAAAATCTTTTTGCAAAAGTAATTTTTATTTCCTTGCCTCTGTAATACTGTTGTACCTGGCCTGTCCCCATCATCATTATGGTGTGCAGTGAAATAAGTACAGGACTTTCATTAAATGTGTCACACGATTTCTAAAGATGCTTGAAATAAATGGCCTCAGTGTTGTTTCTTGCAGCATCAGAAATACATTTGGGCAGTACTGAAATTTCTAAACAATGCAAATAATGTTTCTATACTAGTTTTTGACCTTAAAAACCATATTAATGGTTCTCTTTAAATGATTCTTTTATAAATTGCTTTTTTGGTTCTTTATAATGCACAGTCCTGTCTGCTTCTACAGTTCCTGGTTTGATATTTAAGATGGCTGAACTCAGTCTCTGCAGTGTCCTCCTTACTTAAGGTGACTTTCCAAGTGTTTGATTTAAAAAAGAAAGCAAAGCGATAAGCATGAATTAATGAAGAATAATTAATTTTTATTACAAATAAGTATTTCTATCTTTAATAAAGCTGGACAGTCTGCCTTGTTATTAATAGAGAATTCTGGAAGAAGCTGTTTCTGATGGTCTCTTTAAATTGGTGTAGGTAGCGTGCCATGTGCTGGAAGAGGGAATGTAGAAAGATGCTTTATGTACAGCATTTTTTCAGGTCTAGTTTAACCATTTGTAATCAGTCCATGAAAGAGCCAGTCCTGAAGTGTAGGCTGACTGCTCTGTTAGGTGCCGCTGTAAGAAGGAATATGAAGTACTACGTTTAAATGGTTTTAAGTGTGTTATTGAAGCTAAGCTCAGATGATACAGAGCAACAAATCTAGATGGATTGTAAAACATCCTGATTCTTTTTTTGCTGATTTTTTCCATTCCTATAATTTTAAAATCTCTGCTCCTTAAATTGAATCACAAAATTTCCTCTTACTCTGAGACATTTTCCTCCTAAAAAATGACATGTAAACTTCAATCCAAGAATCATTTATCAGACCCATGAATTTTTCATTAGTTGCTAATATTTGATTTATATAAAAATAGACCTGAAGTTCGAGCAGATAACCACAGAAGTAGAAGTGCTGGCTGTTTTGGTATAGTTCTGGTTGTGTGCTGGACCCTCCTAAAATGTTAGCAAGCATCCTCCATGAACTTTCTTACAGGAGTATATGAAACACTGAAGTTTCTTACAGCAAGAGTAGGAAACCAGGCATATTATCTTTGAATCCAAGCTCCCTTACTTAGCTGACAGAAAGTTAATTTTATTGGTACTGTATGCTTTAAGCAAAATCCATCTTAAAAGACTCAGTAGTTTTTCTTAGCCCAGAGAGTAAATGTTAGGAAGGCACACTCAAGTGTGATGGTCATCTTTTTATATGAAGGACATACATCTGTACACATGGTCTTCAAGGCCCTGGTATGGCAAGATGGTGTTATAAATACGGTTAAGACCTTGTTGTACTGGAATACCAATAGCAAGTTTGCTTGGCATAGAGGCCACGGCGCTTGCCGTGCCTGTGGGCGCCTCGATGGGCTTTCAGAGCTGCTCCAGCCACGCGCATAGAGCCGTTCCTCTCAGTGTGACAGTCTGTGATCACCTGCTTTCCTCTAATGTACTCTTATCCATAGTAAAGTGCTGCTGTACGTGCCAGGGATGCTTTTGCATTCCTAAGGCATGGGGTGGATGGCTACACTTCCTCATTGAGGATGATACTTAATTTGTCAAATTCAGTGGTTTGAGCTGAGTTTACTAGTGTGATGTATTGTTGTATAGACCCTACCTCCTGAGATACCAAGATAATGGCTTTGCAAGATATTTTGGCCTGCTGAGTGCATAATATTTCGCACATTTCCATAGTTACTTTCCTGCTGAATGTTATACAGAACCTTTAAAAATGAGAAAATAACACATATTTAATATTTAAATAGCATACCATATTTAAATAAAATCATGATATTAACACAAACTAAGAAAGCCAGGATATTATTACAGTACAGATAACACTTTTTACCTAATTTGCATGGTCATTACTTTTCTTCTCTTTTATTTTATGGACTGATTTAGCATAAATATTGTTTCAGCCAGCACGAGAGATTTCACTATGTTAGGAGGTCGGAGTCAAATATCGTAGCTGGATTTTAGAGGGGCTGGATCATTTGGTGAACAATAACAATGTTAGTTATTCATGATGAGAGCAAAGTAATTAAATCTCATGCTTCAGGGTAGAGGCCTGCAGCCCATGCTCTGCTGCATCCAGCGAGGGACTTAGCTCAGTAAGTGCTGGTGCCTCGGCGCTGAGGGTTGGGAAGAGCTTTGTTGGTGATGAGAAAGACACATAAATCCTTGTGCAGAAGAGGGATATTAGGTTACTGTTATTAAAAACCAAACAAATAAACACTCAACAACAAGAACAACAACAAACCCACCAAAAATAAATAAATCTAAACCGTGTAGCGTTTAGAATTGATTAGTTACATTCTGGTGAATTTTTCCCCCCTTTTAAACAACAGGTGCTTGCCATGACTAGAGGACAATTTACATCTACTGATGGATTAGAGATGTGCCATTCTGCCAGTTTTATACTCCTACAGTTTATGGCCAGTGTTGAAATAGCAAGTTGAACATTTCCATAGTGATTTGCAAATGTTAAGAAATTAATTTTCCTGACAACTCTGTGGGGTATGTGCAGACTTCAGCTCTTTATTTATAAAGGGGAAGATTCAGAGCAGTGTGACATACCCAAAACTGGGGACGAAAGAGCATCCAGTTCCAGATTTAAGACTTCTGTCAGATAGCCAGAACTGGCATAAGCTGCACTAATAAAATTTGCTAAAACCTGGGCACAATGATGGCTATGAAAACCTCACATGCAGGTTAGTCCACGTGTGCTGATTTCAGGGGTCTGAAATTATTTATGGATAGATGAATACTGTTGATTTAAAGAAAGTGCAAGGAATATTTCCAGAAGACGGGAACATTTCATTTTGATGCCTGCAGACTAAGATATTGCATTTTGAAAATAGTAGAGCATTTCATGTGGCATTTTGAAATGACACTGTAGAGCATCTTGTGTTGAAATTGCATTTTCCATTTCCTAAAACTCACAAACTAAAACATTAAAATGTTCGGTAACCTGAACACTTATACAATACTTTTTTGTTTCAGATTAAACAGTGCATTGCAGGTTAACACAAAATCATATTGTCCAGACTTTTCATTTATTCCCAAAAGGTGTATTTCCCAATATGTCTAAGTCTAGTCACCGGACTGAGTCTCATCCATCGCACTCCGGTGCTAGGACACACCATGCTGAAAGTCTCTTGAACAGCAGGCAGACCTTTGTTTTCGGGTTACTTGCTTCATCTAAATAAAGTGCTGCGTACGCACTGAAGGGAAGGAAAACACGGGCTACGTTTTGAAGTCCTGCCTTCTGCTAACCGTATCTTTTGCAGTTTGGAGCGTGTGTCTCACACCATGAGTCAGCTTTCTGAAGGAAACCTTATGAATCCCGCATAAGATAAACCTGCATGAATAAATTATACAGTAGAACTAGCATATGGATTTTCAATATGTTAGCCAGCTCTTTGGCAAATGTTTATGAGAACACTGTAGCCCACACGGAAAGTATAATGATGGTGGCTCCCTGTTAATGAAACTGGAGTTATGCTGCAGCAGTTATCACATACTGGTATGTGATAAAAATATATAACCTGGCTATCCCACGGTTACATGTTCACATAGCCCTATCGTCAGTAACTACTACTGTGTGTATCTCTTTTTAATGTGGAAACCTATACAAAGCTTTTATTCTGTTGTGTTTTAAAAATTCAGGACCATCCCATTCTTGCTTCCCTTTTCAGAGCATGACGAATGTATAACAAACCAGCACAACTGTGATGAAAACGCTCTCTGTTTCAACACCGTGGGTGGGCACAACTGTGTCTGCAAGCCGGGTTACGTGGGAAATGGTACCATCTGCAAAGGTAAGCTGCTGAAAACCCGAGGGTATGGTAGTCTTTGAACAGGATGAGATGCTTTGTCATAGTTGATGCAAATCTGTTCACGTACCTTGAAGAAGACAGACAAAATGCTAGGCTAGGCATCTAGATCCTGCACCTATAAGATCTTCATAGGCAGGTATACACTGACTTGGCATTTGGCAGCGTTCACAGTGATTTGAGGGTGATGCATACATAAGTTAGTATGCTCTAAAATTTGAAGTAATTATGTTTCATTTCTGTCTCAAGTTAACAGTTTCTATATATGCTAGACCATTCAAGAAAGCCCACAGTTACCAACAAAGTTACAGCTGTGAAAACATTGTCAGATCTACATTGTCCACGGTCAATCACTTCCTTTTTTGCTTGGATGAACTGAAAGTTGTTTGGTATGCTGGTTTTTTATTGTAAATGAGAAAAGCAATAGACATGCATGCACAAAACCTTTGCGACACATGAAGTGGTGCCTTGTTTTCTAACATTCAGGTAAATGTTCACTGGTAAATATTAGAAGTTATATTACTAGTCTTAGAAAGGTGCTTTCCCAGAGATACAAACGCTGCTTTTATTTGTGTTGCATTTCACATCAGAGGAGATGATACTTGGTACTCGGGCCCAAATCCTTGGAAGTCCTCAGGCTCCGAGCATAGGATTTAGAGGATGCTTGAAAATAAAAGTAGTGTAGCTGTAGAGGAACTGGCTCAGACGTGAGAAGTGGTCTAGCTGCAGCAATAGCATACTCAGCGTTCCTTGAAATCATGCCTCAGTCCTCTTGATCTGTTAGGTGTCAGAACGTCAGGGGCCGGAGTTAACATTGGTAATATCCCATAGATACATTCTGCTGCTGTATATTATCAAGGCTAAGCAACCCAGAATTTCTTTAATTGCTAAGCCTGATTAAGATCTTAGCACTAGTTATTCCTTCACCTGAATCACAGTATGGTTTTTCTAAATATTCCTAACATAAACGAGCTCTTTGTAAAACACGGCAGCCTAGTCCACTTCCAGTCAAACACATGGGTAGAGGGAGAGATGTCAGCAAATACGCCCTTTTATGCTGGGGCGTATTTCCTCCTCTGGGGAATGGGAAAAAAGTTTTAGCCTGAGGAGGTTCAAACCCAGAGCTCTCTCTCCTCTCAGAAGAGAGCTCTGTCTGCGCAGCTCACTCCTGTGCTGTGCTTGGGAGTATTCCCCAGTCCTTCTGCTGGAGGCGTGTCAGCTTCCAAAAAAGTAATTGAGATTTTTTGGGGTCTAAGAGAAGGTGCATAACCCTAAAGCACCACGTTCGGCTCTTCTGTTCCCTGAATAAGAGCTCTGACTGCAGGTCTGACATTTCAGAGGGCACCTGGCCCCACTGTGACTTTAAAGTGCATCCCTCCCTCCCTCCCTCCCTCCCTTTTCAATACTGAAAAGACAGTATGCAGGAGAAGGCTCTGAGCCTGTGTATACCGATCTGAGAAATGTACTTCTCTGCAGCCCTGGCTTGGATGCCAGTGTCCTTCAGAGAGACCTGGATGCACCTCTTGTCCCCATGGCTTTGGCAGCTTTTCACACACTGTGCTGCCAGCTGTGCTCCCGTGCACCGTGTCATCCTGCACCAGGAAGCTTAGATGTCTCACTCAGTGCCAGGGCTCTCACACCACAAGGCCGGTGCCTGGAAACAGAGCTGGAAAGCTCGAATCGATAACACTCATGTTCTCTCTCAGATGAGCCTTAAGACCTCATCAGTGGTGCTTACACAGAGCAGCTGCAAACCAAAGCCTGGCATCTCCGGTGGCCGGGTACAAGCGCAGGGCTAGACCAGTGCCCTGGAGCAACTCTTTATGTTGGTGATAACCTCCATCTGCCTAGTTTCACCTACAGTTTCTTGTGACCAGAGCATTTCTGATTCCATATTGCGGATACAATCAGAGCAATTAACAGCTGCCATGTTTTCTATCAGAGCTGGTTGCATTTCTGTGTCTGCAGAAGGGACTCTTTAATGCATACACATATTCCCAACTGTATCTGGAGAATGCTGCACCTAAATGTGTGAGCATGGCTTCTCAGGTTGCAGCGTGCCAAAGAACAAATCCAGGGATTGACTTCAAACTGTAAATGGTAAAAGTTTTTAAGTTCTTCAGAATCCCCTGAGAAAAAAACCTATTTTTATTGTTTCAATCTAACTGCTTAATCAAGGAATAAGGTAGCCAGACAATTCAGTGTTCAGTTGTGCCTATTATGCCCAGGCCTTTATTTGGGCAGCAGAGAAGACCAGCACTGCCCTAGGAAGTGTCTGTTCCTGGGGAAGATGCTGCTTTTCACTGCTTCCCAGTGCATGTGAAGAAGCACATATGTGAGCTGTTGTTTTCAGATGATTTACTCTAATCTCCTTCTGTAGCTTGTCAGCCCATCTGGCCAGTGAGGCAGGGGGGCCATAAACCATCTCTTCGTGACCTCTATCTTTAGGAGAAGGCAGCCTCTGCACTCCATGCCACAGGGACAGCGTTTTGTGCCAGCCTGCCAGCGGCCTGTGGCCACGTGCGTGGCTGCTGAGTGTAGTTATGTTAATTCTTTCTTAACCTTATATTGTGATTTTGCATTTTGCAGCTTTTTGCAAAGACGGGTGTAGGAACGGAGGAGCCTGTATTGCTTCCAATGTGTGTGCCTGCCCACAAGGCTTCACTGGGCCCAGCTGTGAAACTGGTAAGATTATAATTGAATTTACAATGAAGGTTATCCAAGGAGGATGTTTGAGGTAATCCAAGAATAAAGGATTATTTAAGTCTGTGCACTGAAAGAAGAAGCTGCTACTAAAAAGTTACTCACTTTTCTTATATGCCTCCCAAGCGAATATATTACAGCAGCTGTGAAACTGTTAAGATTATAATTGCATTTACGATGAAGGTTATCCAAGGAGGATGTTTGAGGTAATCCAAGAATAAAGGATTATTTAAGTCTGTGCACTGAAAGAAGAAGCTGCTACTAAAAAGTTACTCACTTTTCTTATATGCCTCCCAAGCGAATATATTACAGCAGTTCTAATTAGAAGCACGTGGACTGCAAAAATGAGAACATGAATTAAGACATCTTGGGTTTTGATGTTTCATAATTAATAAGATTATTATAGACTTGCGTTTCACCTCAAATGGCCTTTGGTATCTCCTATACATGGCATATTACATGGCAGATTACCAATCTGACATCTAGAAATAAATTCCAATAATTGATTACTTCTATGCTGTAAATGTGTGACTGGTTCAGTAGCCCACCTTCCCTTGCAACCTTATTTGAAGAATTCCGATTAACTCAGTCTTCTGACTCAGTGTTAAGGCAGGTTTCGGTGTTCCTACTGCTTTTACCTCCTTTCGCAGGCATTCCTTTCTCTTCCTGCTACCCCTGAGGATGGCAGTACCACAAAGTCTTGTTTTAGAACTTTATTTTTTAACTCTTGGATCTAGTCAAATGGCATGGCCCAGCAGAGTATGTAGAATGTTAATACTTAGCATCTCAAGTGCCTGTAAATAATTTCTCAAAGTTCAAATGAATAGTTTCAGCACCTTTATTTATTGCTACAGAATTTTTAAATGCATTCTAACCATACATGCTTCCAGGAGGTAAAGGGAGAAAGCTCGTTTAGATTAATTGGCTTCAGTATGCCTAATAAAAGGGCAGTCTGCCACCTATGATTGACTATTGTTGCTGTCCTATATTGCCTTCAATAAATCTTCCAAACAGAGGAGAGGAGGTCATTTGAGCAAGTATTGCTTTCATCTGACTTGTAAACATGTCCAGTTTAATGAAAAACACAGACTGGTCTGAATTCTGTATTATCTGGTCCATTTGAGAGGTGAGAAATGTGATTGTTTTCATTCTTCTGTATTTGAGCACATATTACCACAGTTCACAAGAGGGATGCTGTGTGAAAAGCAGTATCCTGATTGTTCATCTATTTATAGAAAAATGTCAAAAGAGCAAGTTTTCAAGTATTCCTCACTGTTTCACAGACTGCAGATAATGTGGTACAGGATATCAAGGTCTCTTCAGTGTAACACTGTTGTGTTTTTGCTTGGAACAGTTTGTGTGCTAAGATAATGCTTAAGTATTAAAACAGTTACTTTGTTTTAGTAATATTTGTCTTATATGGTCCTTGCAGCATTCTGCTGTTAACAACTAAATATAGCGTGTATAGTTTCAAGGCCCATATTCATCTTTTCCAGCTTTATACTCCTAATCTGAAGTGTGTAGACTAGAAGCATATTTGCTTTAGTCTCCTTGCATAGTCAATATTAATAGCCACTATCAAAGAGGGATCTTACTGGCTTTTCTGAATTGCCCCTGGAAGTCCTGTCTCTGTTCCTTTCTTTAGAGGAGAACCCAGGGACACTCTGTTCCCAATTCAGAAAGTTCAGGCACCTTAAGCTATCTTAAGTCAGCTTAAGTGCATTCAGCCCCAAATATCCTTCGAAAGCTGCCGGACTGCTGGCCTAACTGCCTGTCCTTCCTGCCCTTCAGGAAACATATAGGAGGGCAGGCAGAGACTTGGACCAGATCTGAATGCCTTTCTGAATATCTGATCTCAATATTTAACATAAGGTTAGTATGGTAGTTTTCACTGATATCTCAGAGCTAGTGATACTGTTGTTATGGTTTGGAGCCAGTTTGCCAGCCCCAAACCAGTTTCATAGGTCAGCTTTGCAAGGAGAAGCCCCTCTGTCCTGGTGGACCGCCACTGGACGTCATATTTTTTTCTTACTGTTGAAATAAGTAATGCTAGAGATCAGCCACAGGGGTACGGGTCTGGTCACCTCATTTGGATATTAATATGCAAGAGTAGGATTGTAATCTACTTGTGCACGGCTTTGAAACATACAGTTTGAAATACCGTCAGAGTGGCATATGGAAGAGCTATCCTGTCAATACAGAGCAAAAGCTGGTTCATTTGTGAGACTGCATTGTCAGAAGAATGGTGCTGTATACAGCCATAAAAGAAAACCTGAGCTTCAGACAGTACATATTCACTCCCAGTGAACGCAACAGTTTCCTGAAGTTACTTCTCGTTAGGCTTGAAGTGATTCAAGACATTCATGCTACAAATAATTTATGCTGGAAGCTTCCCTTTTTGAACAGTCACTTTATCTACATAGTTGATGTAATCTTTTCTAGGCAGACATCTTTAGTTGCGATCACATACAAGGAAGGAGGAGGATTGATGTAAAGATGCCAAATCTATTTTTAAATCATGTTACTTATTTCTGTTTATGCTACATATATTTAAAAACTGCTTATTGAAGAATCTTTGCATTTTTAACTTAAAATAAAACATACAGTTATATAGAAATTGTCAGCAGCTGCTGAACCTATGAATTAATTAACGAGATTGAATCCACACCCCAGCAATAACCTAGAAAAATACAATCACCAGTTCTTACTGTTTTCTTCTGTAAAAGGTGGTTTAATAGCTCTGTTTAAATAATTTCTCAGAATCATAGAAAGGGTGAGGTTGTAAGGGACCTCTGGAGATCATCTTGTCTAATCCCCTTGCTCACAGCAGGGTCAAATAGAGCTGGTTTCTCAGGACTGCGCCCAGTTGGATTTGGAGTGTTTTCAGGGTTGGAGACTCCACAAGGTCTCTGGGCAACCAATCCCCAGAGGTGTTCAATCACCCTCACAGTAAAAAAAATTTCTTTTTGTTACATTCAAATGCAATTTCCCATCCCCCTGGTCCCTTTCCTGGGCATGACTGAGAAGTGTCTGGCTTCCCCCAACACTGTCAGGTATTTATACACATTGATAAGATCCTCCTCAACCTTTTCGTTTCCAGGCTGAACATCACAGCTCTATCAGCCTCTCCTCGTACGACAGATGCTCTGGTCCCTTAATCATCTTCACAGCACTGCACTGGATTTGTTCCATGTCTCTCTTGTACTGGGGAGTCCAGCACTGGACCCAGCACCCCAGATGTGATCTCAACAGCATGAAGTAGAGGGGAAGGATCGCTTCCCTTGACCTGCTGGCAATGTTCTTCCTAACGCAGCCCAGGAGGCTATTGGCCTTCTTTGCTGCAAGGGCACGTTGCTGGCTCATGTTCAACATGGTGTCCACCAGGACCTCCAGATCTTCTTCTGCAAAGCTGCTTTCCCACTGGCCAGTCCCCAACCTGTACTGGTGCCTGGGGTTGTTCCTTAATAGCTGTAGGACTTGGCATTTCCTACCTGGTGTAGCAACCCCTCCTCCAAATTTTGTATCATCTGCAAACGTGCTGAGGGTGCACTCTGCCTTATTGTCCGGATGTTAAATAGTACTGGCTCAGTACCCAGTATTTACCCAGGCGTACACCGCTAAGTGACTAGCCTCCAACTGGACATCGTACAGCTGATCACAGCGCTCTGAACCCAGCCATTCAGCAAGTTTTCAATCCACCTCACTGTCCATTTATTTAGCTTGCACTTTTTAGCTTGTCTGAGGATGTTATGAGAGCATCAAAAGCCTTACTAAAGTCAAGATAAACAACATCCATTGCGCTCCTCCCATTCACCAACCTAGTCATCTTATTTTAGAAGGCCATAAAGTTGGTCAGGCATGATTTCCTTTTCATAAATCAATGCTGACTATTCCCAATCACCTTCTTGTCCTTAATATGTTTGGAAATCGTATCCAGGAGGATACCATCAACTTCCCAGGGAGGGAGGTGAGGCTGACTGATCTGTAGTTCCCTGGATCCTTGCCCTTCTCAAAGATAAGAGGGACATTTGCTTTCTTCCAGTTCTCAGGAGCTTCTCTCAGTCACTTTGACCTTTCAAAAATAATTGAGATTGGCCTCGCAAAGACATCAGCCAGCTCCCTCAGCACTCCTGGGTGCATCCCATCAGGTTTGATCGACCTGTGTTTTTTCCAGTTTATTTAGATACCGATCCTCCTCCACCAAGGGTAAATTTTTCTTGCTCCAGACTTTCCCACTGGTTTTGGCGACCTGGGACTCCTGAAGGCAAATCCTACCAGTAAAGACCAAGGTGTAGAAGGCATTGAGTACCTCACCGTTTCCCATGTCCTTTCCAAACCCCATCCCTGCACACTCAATCAGTATCTCTATTTTCCTCCCAAAGCCTGAGAGGGATGATGCTGTCCATGCTTAGGTCCTGCCTATGGAGCCAGGCTCATGTTGTAGAACAGGCCATTGACCAAGACCAAGAATAAACCAGAGCTGAAATAGCTGGGATTGTTGGTGTCCAGAGCATCCCCCTAAATTTTTGATGAGGCTGTCTACTGTGTGGCAAAACCTGGCCTGTTTCCTTGGTGCCCATGTTGGCTGGGGAGATGTACTGTTCCACGTGATGGGACTGACAACTCCTCCAAGCCTTCCAACGGAGTGGAGCGGAGCAGAGGCAGTGACTGATAGGGCAGCGCTGAGTAGGAAGCAGACAGCCTGCTTCTGATGGGGGAGGTCAGAAGTCTTCTGATAAAATTATCCTGAGATTGAAACATGGTTTCAGGGCAAACCCGTTCACCCAGAACTCAAAGCGGCTTTCCCAGTGCTGGTGGATTAGCACCAGAAGCTTGCTTGTGTTTATGGGCACAGCTGTAACTCTTTTCACCTGTCAGCTGCCATGGAAAGGCTATGTCAGATTCCTAAACTCAATGCAGCTTTTGCAAAGAGAAGTGAAGCCCTGTGTAATTAAGTGCTGTAATGGGTTTCATAAAATTTT